TATATATACATTAGATAAACATGATATGACAGTTCTCTAATAATAACCGTATATATATACATAAGATAAACAACATATAAATAACACTAAAACGGGATAAAACATAATACACATTGGACAATTCTCTAATAATAACGGTATATATACATAAGATAAACAACATATAACCAACATTAAATCGAGATAAAAACATAATACACAATTCTAAATGACTTTAAAATCTAAATCGAATGTAGTTATACATAACATAAACAACATATGTCTACTTTTCCAATTAAAAATCATGCATTTCATTTAATTACGGCTAGAGAATCCACAAGCAAAAAAATCGAAAAGAACAACAAATTTGAAGCTTAAAATTAAGGGATTGGAAAGCAAAAAAAAAAAAAAAGTTATTTGTGATCTGTATATATGTTCAGATATACGTTATATATACATCAGATAAACATGATATGACAGTTCTCTAATAATAACCCTATATATAGATAAGTTAAACATCATATAAACAACACTAAAACAAGATAAAATATAATACACATTTGACAGTTCTCTAATGATAACGGTATATATACATAAGATAAACAACATATAAACAACACTAAAACGGGATAAAAACATAATACACAATTCTAAATGACTTCAAAATCTAAATTGAATGTAGTTATACATAAGATAAACAACATACGTCTACTTTACATGACATTTACAAAATTCAACCAACAACTTTGCGTACTCTAAAAAACAACATATTATAGATTATGTATAACTAACGTATAATTTGTGTATATGTTTACTACACTCCTTTGTGGCACAACGCACAAAATCGGGAAATACGCTTTTCCTCTTCCGTCATATGGCATGCCCAATTGCTCTGCGGGCTTCACCTTCTTTAGAATATCAGTGACAACAACAACACCGTCGTGGATAACAGCAGATTCATCCTTTCGATTCGTCGACGCCTCCGATTCCAGAAACAGTCAGTGATCCCCTTCGGTGAGGATGAGCAGGCAAGGTTGTACCGCCTCAAGGTCGGGCTTTCGAGGTTGACGACAACGACATGACCAAGGGCTACACCATCCATAAACATAAACCCAGATATCTGCAAATCCAAGCTTGAACCTTCCAAATCCCTAGCTTAACAAAACAAAAGGGCTTCAAGCCAAAACAATTATCACCATAAACTTCTCCCATTTGAAAATCCTATTGTAAAAACTGTTAGTCACCTTAAAATTAACCAGTAACCATAACAATCAATCTCGAAAACCAAATTCAATCTCAAAAGGCCAAATTCGAATAAAAAAATCTCGAAAACCAAAAATAAAAAATAACTCATAATTTAAAATCGAAAATTCAAATCTCTATAAATTCTAACAATAGAGATACATAGATAGAGAGAGCGAATCGAAATTTACTTGGCTTCTTCGGCCGGCCGTCGACCGTCTTCACTGTTGACGGATTTGGCTTCGAATTTCCTTCGTTTGACCATTGAATTTTTCAGGCAGAGAGTAGCTTTTTGTGTTAGGGAAGATGGCTATTTTGGCTATTACGTGTGGAAGGAAGGAGAATATCTCTTGCCAATATTCATTCAATGATATTACCACCATTAATGTGTGTAGTGGGTAGTTTAAAAGTTGCTTAAAATAAATCATTATCTTAATTAATTAAATATTTCGTAATTATGATAAAAAATTTATCCATTCGTACTATTAATATTATTTAGCAAATGAAGAGTAAGTGGGGTAAATTTCTCTTAATAATTTTATGCGTTTAGCGTGTTTACTCGGCATCCAACCGAACCCAAAACTTAAAATGAGGGAGAGAAATTGATCCAACCGAACACCAAAGGCAAACTCAAATTATGTTTTCCTCACTCTCTCTCATCAGATAAACGCATATATGCGTTCCAACGAAAAAATTGCGTTTGTAGTTTTGAAATTGCAATCTCACACCCATGTTTGTTATTAATTACATAATTGGCCAATAATGAAAAAAAAAGATAAATAATTCTTCAAATGAAGAAAAAAAGTAATTAATTTTCTAAACTTAAATAAGAAAATAATTCAGTATCCTAACAAATTTATTGGCTATGTGATTGTTTCTGTTCATTATGATTTATTAACATAATTGTTATATTTATTTATTTTTTAAAATATATCAACATACTAAAATAATTAGTGTTATATTTATCCTTTAATTATTTATAAATTAAATATTAACATAAAGAATATATATATTTAGTATATAATTTTCTTACCAATGGAAAATAACATTATAAATCACGAAATACAAATTAGATGTAAAGTCCCTGGGGGCCATCAGATCCAATCTAATAAAAATATATGTAAAACTTTCTTCAAATTTTATACAAATACGTAATTTATCATCATTCTAATAAATAGTTGATAAATAAATTTATTATTATTGGTAAAATTTTGTATAATATGTTTTAGTGCATATTTACAGTCTAGACCATATATGGTTTAGGGCATATATTCACTAAGAAAATCTAGACTGTAAATATATGCCCTACACCATATATGGTCTACCATATATGCCCTAAATCATTTTTCAAAATATAAATATATGCCCTAAACCATATATGGTCTAGACCAAATTATGTTAAATAAAAATAAATAAAATATATTTTTATTATTTGAGTAATTAACATTTTTATTTGAGGAATTCACCAATTCCGAGACTTGAAAACCTATATATTTTTACTTGATTGTTGGAATTTTTAATTTCTCATCTTGTGTGTTGTAATTTTTAATTTTATTTAGTGTGTTGTAATTTTTAATTTCTCATCTTGTCCGTGGTAGTTTTTTAATTTTATCTTGTGTATTGTAATTTTTATTTTATAATGTTGTGCATTGTAATTTTTAATATTATATTGTGTGTTGTAATTTTTAAATTTTATTTTTAATGACTATTTATTTCTCCAATTTTATTACATAAAGTCTAAATTGAATTGAAAATAAAAGTGTGGTTTAATTTGTAAAGTTGTAAAATATGTGGGTAGTATTGAAAAGTTGTAAAAGTTGATGTAAAAAAGAATATTCCGAGAATGTTCTTTTGGGTTGGAAAATGAGTTTTTCGATTGGAGAAGAATTACTGCAAAATGGGATGTGTACTGCAAAATGAGTTTGAGTTTGGTGTATTCGGTTGGAGATGCTCTTAGGCCTTAAAATGATTTTACGAAAAAATAGAGGGAATTATCTTCCTTGTCCTTCTTGGGGCAGTTGGCTTTTAGTGTCCCAACTTCCCACAACGGTTACCCGGTTTCTTCACTCCTTCTGGTGCAATTGCCGGAGCGACCACAGACATTGGCGTTTTGCCAACCTACTTAGCAGGCCTCTTTTTCTTCTTAGACCTTTTGGGCCCAAAAGTCGAGGAACCCGCCTGCTCAGCCACAAACGCATGAGGGTTTTGACAAAAAAGTCCTTCCGTCGCTTGGGGCTCACCGCGAAGTTCCGTCAATGAAAAACATTTTGTTCAAATTATAGTTCAGGCAAAACTGCTCAAAGCTCTTGTACAGTGACTGAAGCACGATATTGACCTGAATTTCCTCGTCGATTTGAGCCCCTAGGACCTCCAGCTCATAGAAAAGCTCGATTAGATTTAAGGGCATGATCGTTTACGGGAGTGCCCTCAGCCATAGTGGTTGTCAAAAGAACTCTCATTGCCTTTTCAATATTAACTCCATAGAATTTCGATTGATCGATTTGCTTCATTAGCTTAAGGACGTGATCCCTCATGAGAGTGGTCTCAGCCATGGTGATCGACATAACGAAGTCCAAGCTCCTTCTTCGGTTTAGAATTCCGGACCAGTAAGTTTATTTTCGTTTAGGATCACATGTAACGGATTGAAAGTCATGTTGAATATAACCTGAGAATCATGAAAAAAAATTTACTGATTAAACTATTTGAATTTAACTTGTTAACATTTATATCCTCGAAACAACATTAACTTAAATTCACCAATATCATAAAGCACCAAGAGTCTATGCATGCTGCGACGGACGACTTTACATTCGCTCAATATATGTCGGAGCATGGTTTTTCAAATATCCATTAATTTCATAAGCCAAAATCCAATTCATGGCAATAAAATTAATAGTCTGTCTCCTTTTGGCCACATAATAAAAGTCCATCAAGTCAGCGGGGAAGAGTCCTTTTATTACATTCTAAGTGAAAACATCAGCTGATCTTAAGGCAACTATTCAATGATTGTACGTCCTCGAACAGCAGGGTCAGTACGCTCAATAAATAATTCATATGGTCTTCACATTTTGTTCTAGTGATTCTATAATTAATTTTGATAATGTCCCTGGACGACGAGGTCCTCGTTACCATTAATTGCATGCATCACCACAATCCTACAATG